TGCGGTGTGCAGAAGCTTGGTGCTGCTGGCACTGAGGGTCCTGCTGCAGTAGGGCAGCCAAACCCCCTCCTCTCACAACGTGCTACGTTCCGCCTTCCCCCTCCCTGCCGCTGATCAGCTGTTTGCCGATCAGCTGTTTCCCGGCAGGAGGGAGGGGGAAGAACAGACGCAGCATGCTCGCTGCTTGGGAGAGGAGGCAGAGAATATGCGGGGGCGGGGCCTTGGGGAAGGGGGTGGAATGAGCCTACCTACTCTGTGACTGCAGAGCTGCACAGCCCAGCTGAAAAAAGAAAGTGCTGCTCAGCTCCCTGGACTTTGCAGCTGGACACCACCTTTTGGGTCCTAGTGCTGGTTGAGCTCCCTTCTGTGTGCTGGGAGCCATCCTTCATCTTGTACAACAGTGAGTGCCCGCGGTGGGGCAGGCAGGGGGACAGAGGCAGTGGGGAAGGAAGGGGGTGGGGTGGGGAGGAGAAGGGGATAGGGCAGGGATTGGCAACCTTCGGCACACGGCCCACCAGGGTAAGCCCCCTGGCGGGCCGGGCCGGTTTGTTTACCTGCCGCGTCCACAGGTTCGGCCGATGCGGCTCCCATTGGCTGCGGTTCACTGCTCCAGGCCAATGGGGGGCTGCAGGCAGGGCTGGTGCAACCACTAGGCAAACTAGGAGGTCGCCTAGGGTGCCAAGTGCTTGGGGGGTGTCCGGGATTTTTCCTCCCTCCCTTTCCTTCCCCTCATGCAGAGTGCAGCGCAGCTGATTGGGTGCCTGGACCTGATTTAGCTGCTCCCATTGGCCTCCAGCTGGCAGAGTCCCTCCCCCGCTCTCCCCCTCCCTCAGCGTCGCGTTGCCAGCAAGCTGCGGGGGAGGGGCCGTGTGCTCTGCAGCCTGTTTGGTTTTGCTTCATGTAGAGCCAGCGTCTGACTGGCCTGGTCATGGTAAGGGGAGTTCTGGGGGGGCTGTCAGGAAGCAGGGGGGTTGGATGAGTTGGGAGTTCTGGGGGGGCTGTCAGGGAGCAGGGGGGGTTGGATGAGTTGGGAGTTCTGGGGGG